CTACGCAAGGAAGATAATTCCGCAAACAGCTGCAATTGCAGGTTTTCAAACAGAGATGGCGACAAAGAGGCAAAACTTACGGACTGCAGCTTTAAGTTTTTAAAATTTTAACTCTACTAATATGACCCACAGTTTTATCCTTAAAGATATATTTTATTATGAAAACCCCAAATCGTTGTCTTTTGAATATGTTGTTAATTTCTTTATTTTATGTGCAAATTTTTTCATCCACAAGCAAAACTGGCTTAAATCTCCTTTGTTTTCCTTTTTCTTATTGAATTTATCTCGTTTCATCCCTCAGGCTTATAAATAACAAAAAACAACAACAACAACAAATGCAATATTTGATGCATTATGATGATTATATGAATATTATGACTATTCAAAGATATTTAACCTTGTCATTGTGCCCTTTTTTTCTGTGCAATCTTATACTTTGATGTACGCAAACCCATTATATTTATCTTTTCTGGCATTATGATTGTTCATTGTTAAAGGTACAGCTATATTTCCCTGAGCTTGTAAGTAATTATACGTTCTGCAGTAATAATAATACAAAGAAGATAAGAGGGAGGTGCACTAACACCTCATAGCATCAGTAACTCCACAACCCTACCCTTACCAAAAAGTAGTATACTTCAGGTTTATTTTAGTAAGTATACTTAAGTAAAGTTCAAGTATATTTTTAAGTATACTTTATGTAGTAAGTATACAAATATCAGTGTACTAGTAGTATACTTGTAAGTGTGTAAATAAAAAAAATAAATAGTATAGTAGTCTATGGTCCTCTTTGACAAATAAAACTTTTATACAAATTGTGAAGATTTTATTCTTCAACACGTGTGTGTGTGTGTGTGTGTGTGTCCCTTATTTTTCTATGAAAAACCACGATTGTCCCTTATTTTCCTTTTCGTGACTTATAAAGTTATGACCCATTGTCGTCATTGCTTTAAGAAAAGGCTACAACCCACACAGTTCCTTCCCTTCAACTCACAGCTGCTTAGCTTCAGTCTCTCGGACGTTTTTCAGTGCAGTCACGCCAGGGAGAAACACATCAGCCTCGATGACTTCAGATAGGTGTATAGAAGGGAAATTCTGGAATCGTGCTCGTTACAAATGTGAGCCATGTGAGACTAAATATCTAATCATAAAAGGTAAGTTTTAAATTATGTGTTCGATAAATCGCGCTCTTAGTCCATGTAACTTGAATGCGAATTATATGTAGGGTGAATTCAAATAAATTGGGGCACTTTTTGCTATTGAGATTTTTGCCATTGAGATGCCTGGGAAAATGTCCCAATTATCCTGAATTAACTGTAAAGTTAATTTCCGCGGCGCAATGTGTTGTTCGCGCAAAACAGATGTTTTCGCCAGCACAGTCATTAATAATCAATTACTCAAAAGACTTTCATACAAAACCTACAGATTTTATATTTGTGATCTACACATTTATAATAAAGTGATACATCGATCTATTAGACATCGAGAAAACTGCTCGCATACTTAAGTGAACGCGTTTACTCATCGTCGTTCTGTTTTGAGGACAGGTTACGAATTTATTGAAAACTGCGGGTGGTCCGATGAGCAACAACAGATCGAGTCACCTTACAAACCATGCAGAGATGGGACATTTAATAATGGATCTCAAGTCAAATGCCAAAATTGTCGCTCTTGCCCAACGCCACAGTTGACTGCGTCTGAATGCAGCACCAGCTCGGATGCCATCTGCTGTAGGCAAGGGTACGTATACTTTCATTTTTTTTTACTAGGCTACTAATTTGTTTGTTTGTACCTGCAATAAGAGAAATTTCGTCTAATCTGGATGAATACATTGCTAATTAAAGTTAGTTATAGCTAGTCCACAATAACGGTTTATTCATTTTGATTAGATAGCCCATAGGACACTACCTTTACATTAAAAAGTGAGCTTTAAATGTTGCTTTTCTCTTTTATTCCGATATGCAGTGATAATATTGGAAATGTTACTTTTTTTTTTTTTTTTTGCAGGGAGCAGGCTTTTAATGGAAAATGCATCCCTCAACCGTGGCTGACCACAAGGATAACAGTAACGATTTTCTACTAACTTTTCAAGTCAGCTCTCTCTTAATGCTTTCTCATCGAAAACAGAGAGATATTAGCTTAAACAAATACAATTTAAATGCATTTTAGTGCTAAATAAAGCTTGATATAGGCCATATTATATCCTATTTTGACAGTGCAAACTGTTTTTTTTAGACTGCGAGTACGACTGTCTTCATATCTAGCTCTGTCGCCAGCTCAAGCCCCTCTCCGAGCACTCAAAACGTCTTTCCAGAGCCCTCTACAAGCACTCAAAGCTTTATGCCAATCACCACTCCAAGTTCCACTGAAATTTCATCAATTGACCAATTCATAGGTATTGTTTTGCATTTCGTTATTTGTAATCTTTATCTCTACATCTCTTTACACAGGGTAGGCTACGGTTCAAAAGTTTGAGGACTGTACGATTTTGTAATGTTTTTGAAAGAAGTCTCTTATGCTGTACAAAAAAGTAGTTAAAACAGTATTGTAAAAATGTAACTACAATTTAAAACTACCATTTTGTATTTGAATATATTTTGAAATGTGATTTATTCCTGTGATGGCAATGTCACATGATCTATCAGAAATCATTCTAATGTGCTGATTTGGTGCACAAGGAACATTTATTATAATCAACTGTGAAAACTGCTTAATATTTTTTATAAATTTTTTAAAGGATTCTTTAATGTATAGAAAGGAACAGCATTTTTTTTTTTATACGATTTTGTAAAAATGTAAAAGACTTTACTGTTACTTTTGCCTGCTGAATTAAAACGTACATTTTACTGACCCCAAACTTTTGAATTGGTATTGTACACATTTACAGTATATCACCAACCCAAAATGTATTCAGTGCGTTTTGTTGATCTGTATCTAGTTTGCATGTTAAAATTTTGACTATTCAGTTTGTACATATTATACACACAGCGAATGAGAGAGATAGAATGTGTTGGCTTTGATGTTGATAAAAAGCGGATGTGATGGTTTGTTTTCTCGTGCATCTTTGTAGGGATCTATGTATGTTTTGGGATTTTATCAACTCTCATTCTGGTGTGTCTCTTCCTTTTCATCAAGAGGAGGACTAAACCTTTCAATGAAGGTCAGTCAGAAACAAAAGGAGGCAGGAGATATGAAGGAAATTCCGCAGGTTTTATAAATATTAACGTTTCCTGTTATGACCGACTGATGCTGATCCGACATATTTCAAAATGAGCTCCTTAAAGACTTTCATCTCATTGCTAAATGGCATCTATATTTGAAGAGTTTGGTTCCAAAACGCTATAAATCCATTTAGATTAATCTGAGTAAAAATGTGCACTCTAAAAAATGCTGGGTTAAATTCAACCCAGTGCTGGGTAAAATAGGGACAAACCCAGCAATTGGGCTGTTTTGACCCAGCGGTTGGGTTAAATGTCTGGGTCAAAACAACCCAATTGCTGGGTTTGTCCCTATTTTACCCAGCACTGGGTTGTATTTAACTCAGCATTTTTTAGAGTTTGTTTTCTTTGCCAAGAACGTGGCAAGATGAAAATCACTATTTTCTGTTTCAAACTTTCACAAAGCATCTTTAGGTTATAATAACATTAAAAATTCAAATCCAGATTTAGATTTTCAAAGATTTATTATAAAATATTATTTTTTCCCCAAAATGCAATAAATCCATTGAATCAATATAAAAGTTATTTTTCATATTGAAACTACACAACATAGTAAGTTGATCCACATATGACAGCCT